GCACCTAACAACAAAAAGGATCCAGGCTTCCCCTTGTCATTTCTCATTCTATTTTTGTGCGCTAAACTCTTATCGGATCACTAGATATTAATTTGCTTGACAACCTCATCAATGGATAATGTTAAGAGAATTACAAATATTGACAAAATTGCAAACTCCTCACATTTGAAGATGAAACTTAAGCTAATTCTAATCCTGCCTCAGCTGCCATATAAAGACCGTTACAGGCATCTAAACATTCTGACAAAAATGTTCAGGCTCTCCCTGACGTGAGACCAACTCTTTTTCCCTCCACAGAGAACTTCTGGCTGCCTTCCAGCTGCAACGAAAGGAAAATCTGTTAATTTACAAAATGCAAACAGCAAGAGAATTCATAATGAAATGTTCATCTAGCAGCCCCAACTCTTCACGAAGTAGTGAAGGAATTGCTGTTCTCTCAGAACGGGAAAAAACAAATTCAATATAAAAGTTGAAAAAATTGAGGTTTCTTTAACATATAGAAAGAGGTAAAGGTAACATGCTCCATTCAGGGATTATCACGACCATTTATAGCTGCAAATATTGATGCACAGGAGCTAGAAGTCCATACCTTACGCTTCAGGTAAGCAAGACTATCTTTTGTGGAAGACAACTCCGAGAAAACTGAGGGTGCATGTTCATCAATCAGAGCTTTAAGCTGTTTCAGCTTCAGTGATTCTCCAGGTACCTGAAATGAGCAAAGTTTAAGAGAAACCATATTCGCATCGTTCTTTATAGAACAACATTATGAACATTTAACTAGCTTTATGTTATTTGTAATGTTAGATGTGCACCTGAAGTAGAAGCTGTTTGCATAATTTTTTCAATTTCACTTTTGGTTCATATATGTTTTTTGACTCAAAGGTGCCATCAAGTTTTTGTTTTTTTACTGAAAAATCAACATCAGGTTCCTCATCACTGCCCTCGCCAAAACATGTCTTTTTCCCCTGGAATCGAGCCCCTGCTATTTTTTTTGGTCGGTCCTTAATGCCAAGTCCTTGCTTGCCCACCGTGGACTTATCCTAAAAGCACGAAGAGAGAAAAGCACAAGGTGACTGGTTCGCCCTTCTGAGAAGCATATGCTGTACAAACTAATATCCAGTTTATAAACTAGAACATGTCGTGAAACTAATTAAAAGTAAAGACAAATGATTAGTAACATGGCATTTTCAAATTTAACTTACGTACTGCCACTGAGTTCGGCATATAACATATTTGCAGGACAGAATTACAATTAGCGAGACATACTTGAACAAGTTTATAAAGATTCTCCTGATCATCTTCACAAAATACTTTCCTCGCGCCACCACTTTGTGCATCTCCAGTTTTCAGCGATTTCCTTCTAGCAGATCCTGCTCCAAGAAGACCTCCTGAG